CTTCCTGTTTTCCCAGTGTGAACGAAGGCTTTTGGTTTGAGGTACTTTGTTTCATTGACAATCTGCTCCTCTGTCATTGGCTACTACGACTGACTTGTACCCTCTTGTCACCGAATCAAGTCTTTCTGTGTGATTGTCTCCATCTCTTGAGACTTTAGGATTGCTTATTGGTCTTCAATCCTTTTTGTGATTGATGGCTACGAATGAGAATCTTCCTCCAAATGTAATCAAGCTACTTGTTAGGGAATTGAAGAATCTCGATGAAACACCACCAGAAGGAATTAAAGTAGGAGTGAATGATGATGATTTTTCAACGATATATGCTGATATTGATGGCCCAGCTGGCACTCCATATGAGAATGGTATTTTTCGCATGAAATTGATTTTGTCCCGTGATTTCCCCCACTCACCTCCTAAAGGTTATTTTTTTGACAAAGATCTTCCACCCAAACATTGCGACAAATGGTGAGATATGTGTCAACACATTGAAAAGGGATTGGAAACCTAGTCTTGGCTTACGTCATGTTCTAGTTGTAGTCAAATGCTTGCTGATAGAGCCATTTCCTGAATCTATGTTAAACGAGCAGACCGGAAAAATGTTGTTTGAGAACAATGAAGAGTATGCTAGGCATGCCAGGCTGTATACCGGAATTCATGCTCTAATACCAATTGAAATGTCCAATTCATACAAAACTGATCAAGATCTTCAAGATTGATAAGAACAAGATGAAGAGAGAGATTATGATCACCAAATGACTTTGATTGATTGAGGGAGAATTATAGCTCTAAACTCAGATTACAGAATTTGCTAATGACTTGCTAATGACAATTACAAAGTAAACTCCTATTTATACTAAGAAAAGTATAAAGCTAAACTATTACAAAGCATGTAAAATATGGAGAACTTGAATACAACAATAACGCGCATACTCGAACCCAACACTAAGGCTCACCCAAAACTCTTTTAAAACTTTTTTACCCAGGCGGCTATTAGACTGGAAAGAAAAGTTGGATAAAGAAAGATATAAGGATTAGCATCAAAGAAGGACATGTGCAGATCAAAGCATTGTTATATAGAACAAGGTTATTCGAAATTTTGGGATGTTACAATATTCCCAATAGGCGAGAGCGATAGGACTGCCGGATAGTGTGCCGGCGTGAGGACTGCAGGGATCTGCCGGCATGACTGTGGAGAAAGTGAGAGGCGACAGGTCAAGAGCGACTGTGAGAGGCGAGAGTAGGTGACTGTGGTTTGTGGTGTGTCGTGTGTGGTGCAGCTGGTGTCTTGCGGTCATGTGATGTGGACTGTGGAGACGACGATCAAAGGCAATTAGGAAATTCATCAATAGTTGTTTGGGCTAGTGTACTTTAGGTCCATTAAGAAGCTTGGGCTTTTAGGCTTAAGAATCTATTTGTTCAGGCTATTATTTATTAAATTGTAATTTATAAAATTTAAATATATTATATATATTATCGGGTTGGTCCGGGTCGGTGAGTACCGTCCCCGTCCCCAATATAATCCCCAAAACTCCCCCGATCCCCGCCCCGTCCCCGTTAAGAGGTCCCCGAAACCGACCCGAATTGTTCGGTTTTCGGTTTTCACCGTCGGTTTCGGGTTTTTTTTACCATCCCTAAAAAAAAGATGTAAGTGAGAGAGTTAAATCTGTAAATATAAAGGGTTTAAAATGAAAATATATAAAAACATATTATAAAACACCCTTATTTCTACAAATACTTTTAAAACACCTCTATTCCTACCAAACTTTTTCTAAACAACCCTAAAACTCCCGACCATCTTGAGTTTGTACCCATTTCAACAAATAAGTTTATTATCGATCTCACTATGGCGAGGAATATAGAATGATGGTGGAGTTCCTAAAACATCATTACTCTCATCATGCTGATGCTCTCACAGCATATGAGGAAGTTCTCTACATTTCAACAATGATTCTATTGAGAGGGCCATTATTGGAATCATTTGACCATAACATAATGTTTAGCTCTCAATCCCTAAAACATGTCTTTGTACATGCAACAATTTGCAGCTTACATGCTCAAATAAGAGAGGTGAAGATAAGAGGGTGGCGACAGCCGATAGTGAACCAACACCAAGAAGATGGAAAGAGGCGAGATGACAAGAAACGAACTACATTAACTTTTTTTGTGATTTATTTCTTTAAAAAAGCTTTTAGCTTTAGAAACGTTAACTAAAGTGTGGTTTGATTTTTTTTTTAATAATATTTAATCTTTTTAAATGCTTTTAATACCTCTTAATCTATACTATATTATAAAGTATTTGACAAAAACACTCTTAAAAACTATTCTTTATGAATGAAGTATTGTTTATCAGTACATATTACTTAAAATTTAATATTACAAGTAAATTATGCGTAAATACAACTTATTAAAGCTCTATTTTTGAATTCGTATAACTAACTGCAGATAAACAATAATCAAATACAGGATAAACATCTCATTTTAAATAAAAAAAATCTAAAATATAATTAGGATAATTATTGAGTGCTAACAGAATTATTATTTTTATAAAAATTATATTGTTAAGTCAAAAATAAATTATTTTGTTATTAGACCAAAATTAAATTATAATAAATAATTGAAT